GATGGATGGACACTATAACAAGAGAAAACAAAAAAATGTTGAGGAGTACAGCAGATGCAATAGATCAATTGTGGAAAGGTCTTAAGACAAAAACGGAAAGGAAAGCTGCGGTGGACTTAATAAACAGTTTGCCCACAAAAACAGCGATTGCAGAAGAAAACCTCGACACAGGGGTCAGTGGCATCTCCGTCAGCATCGAGAATGCAGAAGCATCACAATCTGCTCAGAGGAGACTGTGAAAGCAGCATCAAGGAGACTCGTGCAAAAATAAATAAATAAATCAATAATTAACTATTTCTAAAGTGATGGAAAGCCAAAGTATGGAGAAAGACAAACTATTTCACCGCATCAATATAACACGGATCGTGTCAGAGCATGGCTGCCTCTGGAAGCGGCTCATTTGCCTTTATCGATGATGCAGCAGATGACAGCAGCAGCAGGATAAAATCTGAAGTTAAAATTTGTCTGACTGCGTACAAAGAAGCTCTCCCAGTCTCACAAGACCGTGGCCACCAAACACACTGGCTGTGAAACCAAAGCTTTTATCAGTGACAACTCAGACCTCACCAGATTGAAACCCTTTTGGGCATTTTACCTGGAGAAAGAAGATTGAAGAGAGAGCAGCTGTAACAAACATCAGCTAAAGGCAGTTGCTTTGAAAGCTTAGAAAAGCATTTGTTATGTCAGCGGCTGTCATTGCGTCTCAGGGCTATGCACTAGACATTCCCACTGTTATTTCCCTCGACATTCATTTGTTAACTTACCTATCCACACCTAAATAAATGGGGAACCTACGCAGTCTGTCTCTTTTTTTTGTGGAGCACAGTAAGTTCCTGTCACTCTGCATATTAATATTGTTATTGTGAATTTTCTCTCTGCTTTGAGGGAGCTTTTAGTATTTTTAGTACCCACTCAGTCTGGGCACTTTTTGAAAGCATAAAAATGATGTTTTTACATTCATGGTCACAGTTGCTCTAAAAGAGTGCAAGCCCGTCTGGCAGGGGAAAAAAAAAAAACAGTTTTTCTTCCACTTTTTTTTCCATTTGAAAAATAAATATAATGTTTGGTCACATTTTTCAGACTGGTTTTGGGGAAATAGCTTAAAAGTTCTAGTTCAAATCTGACTGTTAATGCTGGAGATTACTTTCATCAGACCATTGCTGTTTGGTCAATAATTGTCAGAAAATATTCACAAATTTCTTTAAATTGTTCATTTTCTCCAACCAACAGTTCAAAATCCACAGTGACTTAATTCAGTGTTAAAGACAAAGACTAAGGTTGATGTAGTTGATGATTAATTTGAATCAACTAATTGTTTGAGCCGTTCTCAGTTTCTTTCATTCTTCCCTTTTTCAACTTGAACTTTTGGCTCTGATTCATTGGTGCATGTTTTCAAATCTGTGCTCTTTTGTCTTTATGTCTTTTTCCTGACACACTGACACTTAACAACCTTTTTTCCTGTATTTTGCTAACCCGTACCCCACCCCTGGAAAAAAAACATGTCACACCTTTCCTTATCAGGAGGTGGCAGTGGGCGAGCGCAGCAGGGGCGGGCGGCTGCTGGAGGAGCCTAAAATGATGCTGTTTAAGGCGAACACTTTCAGCCTCCAGGTATCCATCCAGGATGTCCCACAGTTGCTCTGGAGCATCAAGCCTTTCACCACCTGCCAGGTAAGCACTTCCTGTTTTCTATCATTTCGAGTCAAAAGCAGGACATGTGTTAACTGCGTGTGCATGTTCAGTGGTTGTCACGGTCATGCACAATGAAGGAAGCTGTGCACCTTCATCAGCTTCCCTGTTTTTTATTTGGTCATATCAAAGCCAGAGGACAGCAGCAAGGGCACAGCAGGGGATCACTACGGCTGGCTATCTCGCCCACACACACCCCCTTACAAACTTAATTATGACTTCCAGGCAAGGCATATACACACACACACCCACTCTCATATCATGCTTATCTTCCTTGGGGTCTCCATGCTGCATGTTCTGCTCTCCCCCGTGATGTTTATCCCACCAGTGACATCCTATTAGCAGAATTAGCCTGCCATAATGCCCCAAGTATACTAACTAGGATTTCTCAGGGAAGAGCCGCTGTGAGAGGGTGCTGCAGGGAAGACGACGACAGGCTTTCATTCAGACACTACTCTCGTCTAAAGGAGGCTTTTATAAGAGTCTGTCCCACTGTCTGATGGATCTGAAGAGAGGATGATTCATCTGTAGAACAGTGTTTTTGACCTGTTCTTACTGCACCACTGTCTGGGTTACACAGTAGTTAGTAATTGAAGGTGAAATGGACCTTTTAGATTGCATAGCTCTGTTACTTTTAGTTTTTTCAGTTATTTGGAGGAAATGTAGTGCGAGCTGCCCTAATACCATCATCACAGCACAGCTCCTGATCCAACAGGTTGCAGTTACATTATGGGTTTTGTATTAGGAGTATTAAAATGTGGAAAATTAAAAATAAGTTAATGAAGTGTTTGACGGCAGTCGTGTCGTTATGTTGACCATCTCTGGACTTTCAGGTAAGTTTGGTATTTAGTTGCTTTATTAAGAATGCTCGTGCATCTGTAACTTAAGCATTTTTTTCTCAAGCAGTAATTAAGTTTTTGCACTAATGATTGTAGCCTTTACACGTGGTTAGCAGGACGTATTTACATCCTGAGGGCTCTAACACCCACCGGTGCTCCTTCTGATGGGTAGACTTCTTGATTAGGCAACATCATCGATTGGCTAAAGAGGCCGCTCGTTCAGTCTTAATTAATCATGTAAACAGCAAAGCGGGTGGCAAAGCAGGATTCAAATAACAAATGTCTTTAGTGGGGATTTAATGAGTGTGTTGTCTCCACCAGCCTAATCCTTTCATCATTATGTTCGTCCTGTCCGCCCTCCCGTCTCGCCTCGCTCCGCAGGAGTTCTCCTTTTCTCAGGTGTGGGCCAGTAACCAGCATCCCCTGCAGTGTGCCTTCACTTTGGAGCGATACAGCCACTCCTCGTCACAGCTCTCCTGCAAGATCAGCATCCGACAGGTCACGGGCAAGGAGCAGATACTACAGGTCTACACGTCTGTAGTGGAGGTGAGTAGCACTCAGAGAAGGTGTGGTGCGTGGGCAGTCATGCGGCCTGTTAATAGGTTCTTTTACTGCGCTGAATAACTCTTGATTTGATTTAAGAGCTTGCTTAATGAGCCTCTCAGGGAGCTTTTCAACTATAGATTGCAAAGTCCTTGTCTTCACGTTGAGGAGGGGAAACTTTTTGCATCAAATCACCCTGACATCTCTTACTTTTTGTCTTGCTACTAGAATGAAAAGGGAGTGGTTCCCTTTTTCACGCAGTCGGACTGTACCATCACCTCGCAGACAGGGTCAAGGGCCTTTAAAATCCCCCTGTCCATCCGTCAGCGGATCAGCACCACCTTTGACACCGCAAATGCCAACGGGAAGGACTGGCAGCTCCTGGCTCAAAAGCTCCACATAGACAGGTCTGAGTTTTAACACTCTGAATGCTGCATTTCATTCTCGTGCCTCGCTGCCATTTACATACTGCTGAGTCAAATAAAAGAGCAGGTATGTTTACTTTAGGTCCGAGGAAGAAAATAGAAAATGTTCCATAATGTAAACACTGTTCCCACTGTGAAGACTTTTGTTTAAATCTGAAATTTAGACACCACGTCAGAAATGATCTTCTCCAGCCTTCAATAACATGCCACACCGCCAGTTTCATTATAGATCGTAAAACACATGCAGAGAAAGGGAGAAATGTTAGGCACAGCCAGAATACTGTAGAGAAGAGATGCAGTGTTTTGTAGAAATCTGAAGAAAGGTCTCCGACTGCTGACAGGCCAGCCTCTGGCAAGAAAATGTGTTCATGTTAGCACTTCTCATTAGCAGCATCTCTGCATGTGCTCCGTCCTCCAGCCTCTCGAGAGGTTGTGCCAGGTCAGTTATTTGCGTAGGCTGTGCAGGATTTCAGTTGTTTGGTGATGGGGTGATCTCTATTTGTGCTTCAAAGGAGAAGTCAATAATCAAGTGCTTATAGCCACGAAGATTTAGATCTGTACACCCAGCTCCATCAAGTACTTGAGGAAGAGAGTACTGACAGTGAGTACACTCTCCATCTTGCCAGTTGGAGAAACACGAGAGGGAAAAAGTTCACTAAGAAGCTATGACGGGAAACTGTGTGATTATGGAATTTCGCTTCAGCTGAGTCTGAAAACAAACACCTGTGACTGAGAAATGGGGAAAAGGATTTCTGAGCTTTTTCTACCCATCCAAACACACCAGGAAGCATCTAATGGGAATGTCTCTACCTAGTTAAGCTGATTGTAATTATTTCTCTAAGTGTGTGGGAACATCAGCATACTGAGGTGGGAAGTAGACTGGCAAAGACAGGGAGAAGGCAACAAATGAAATCCCATTGTAATGAAACAGTGCACTCTCTTGGAGAGGTGCTGTAACAACATCAGAGGAAGAAAATAGGTGGATATTGAATTTAAAACCTGTTTTCTCATAAACCACACAACAAAGTGTGGCTTAATTTTATTGTTCTACTGGTGTGTTGTATTGGGGTTTTTTTTATTGTTTGTTACCATTGTTTAAAAAATAAGAGTTATATGTATCCAAGGATGGTAAATATGGAGCTGCCAGGCAGGACTTGAAAAGGAAGATTCATGGAGTTGTTGAAGGAGACACGCAGAGGGTTTGTGTGGCAAAAGAGGATGCTAGAAATAGGATGAGATGGATGGCAGATGATCTGCTGTAGCGACCCCTAAAGGATCGCACAAACCCATGTGAATCAAAACAGAATGCAATGATTCTCTTAAGCCCGTGTTATTAAAAGTGGAACATAGAAAACATATGAAATGTGCCATTTTAAGACAAATATTGGCTCATTTTGACTCACTTTGACAAAAAAGTGTGGACAGGGCCATGTTTACCACTTTGTAGCATCCCCTCTTCTTTTAATAGTCTGTAAATATCTATCTAAATATCTATTCTTGTCTAATAGAGGATTTATAATAGTTATCAAATCCAAATATTTTCAGTTGGTGAAAGGTCTGAAATGCAAGCAGGCTACAAAGTTGTGATGTATAGATGCAGTATGCACGACCTTCTCTGAAAAGGTTGTAACCTAGACGGGAGTATATTTTCCTCTAAAACCTGTACATACCTTTTAGCACTGATGGTGCCTTTTCAGATGTGCCAGCCCCTGAATTGGATGGATGGATCAATGGATGGTAAAATGCCTCAGTTTGAACACTTGATATGTTTGATATGTTCAATTGTAAATAACACAAGCTTAAAGGAATTTGCCATTTCGAAGGCAAGAAGGGTCTAATGAAAGATTAGACTGAATAATCCCAAATCCCTGTACCAATTTCAGGCACAAAGCTCAGGATATCCCAGCTGCTGCAGCTTTGACTCCTCTTTTTAGTCTCATCTTTTGTTCATCGTGCCTTTTTTAAAAATATGTACTTAGAACAAGCAAAATTACCTTAGTGATTTGCATTGGCATCCTTGGCATAATAACTGCAAAGTGATTGCCTCATTACTACTTCACTTGGTTGTTATCCATCACCAATATTATAATGTTCGATTTTTCCTGTTCTGCAGGAACTTGTGCTACTTTGCATGTCAGGAGAGCCCGTCATCAGTGATTCTGACTCTATGGGAAGCCCAGCACCCGGATTCTGGGGACCTGGACTCTCTGGCCAGTGCCCTGGAAGAAATCAGCAAGGTTCATTCCCCTAAGGCGGTCTCTCTCAGCTGCAGCAAAGAGGAACGGGACTCTGAATTCACAAAACTGGCGTAGAGTGGCTGTACGAAAATGATGAAATGATGAAAATGATGAACCTTTACTGCATGAACATTTATGTTCAGGTGTAGTAACTAACCTACAGTGAGGTGAAGGAGATGCACAGAGGCCAGCAGGGCAACTAAATTTTTGACTGTTACTAAAGGAACACCTCTGTTAAACCAAATGAACCATAGAGGCAGAAGGAAATCAGGAAATGACCAAGAGATGTGTTATTAGGAGGCACCAACAAACTTTGGAAAGGCATCTCAAATTGACACACAAACACACACACATTCATCTTTCATTGAGAAATGTCAACTCCTGATACTTCTGAAGACCAATTTGATACCCTGTGTTAAAGGATTACAGAAGCCTGTGAAAAGAAGACAAAGTGTGTTTTAAGGAAGCTGCCAATCAGGTTGGTGCCGTGACCTCCCAGGATTGGATGTGCCGGTACTTGCCCTCAAACAGTCTTCTGGGCTGTCAAAATGTTTAGTGTAATGCCATATTTTCTTTATGTCACTGACACCTCATGCTTTTTTTTTCTTTTCTGCACATATTTCTGCTGAAGCTTTTTAAAAACACAAAGAAAAAATGAATATTGGCTCTTTATTTTGTCAGAACATCTTATTCCACAGTGATCAGTATATAAAAGGACCTGGAGTCCACATGCTAAGGAGATGGAGATTTATGAGAAATTACTTTTTAAATGCCTTTGAGAGTCATTTTACACACTTTTTTCAGCTCAACAGACAGACTCCACTGTCAAAGCACCGACAGCAGAGGAGGGTAACTCACCCACCACTGATCTGTGCCTCATATAGCAATGCAGCCAGAGGTCCATCCCTGAGCGTCTCTCTTCTTAATTTGGAGGAAAATTACATTTTACTGTGAGTGACCTCATAGCAGGCAGACAGTGGGGACAGAAGTGTGTAAAACAAAAACAAAAAAAAAAGATTTCTGGAGCATGGAGATGATCAAATACCAGGAAATGGTTATACAGAGACACTTTGCCATCTCTTACTCCCAATACTTCTGTACGATCTTCCCAAGCAGAGGCAGCATCCACTCAAAAAAGAAGATAAAAAAAAGATACCCTGATCAGGAAGCTCCCACATTCGGTTGCTCCAGCTGCCCCCTCAACTTAATAAAGTGACTTTGTGTTGAACTCTGCGTTGGCACTCTCTTTTCATGTGCTTAATGAATTGAATTCTGAAAGGCCAGACAGCCCACATGCTGCACAGTGGTAGAAATCAGTCCATGTTCAAAAACTCAGATAAGAGATTAAGCTGAGTTTCAGAAAGGTGTAAAATATATACATATGCACTATTTGAGTTTGGACGGCAGATCATTGCCATGTTGGTGTTGCATCATGCAGCTGTTTGAACTCCATCTGAAGAGAAGTATCTGTCAGTCTCTTGGTTCTAACCCATCATATTTGCCTAAATTAGTAACCCCCCTTGAAAGGCTCAAATATTTGTAAATGCCTAAAACTCTTGATGGATTTAAATTCTTAATGAAGACTTTCTGCAGAGTTCGTCTGCTCAGTAAGACCCTGTGCTCCACGGCACTCCACAAAGTTTGACATGGTTTAAACATTTTAAAAAGCAGCATGTTGAAAGAGCACTGCTTTCTTTCTTACTTTGATCCATACTTTGGCATTTTGAGAAATTCAGCCATCGCACATAGTTTACCAAGAATGTTGAAAATTTGACACTACAGCCGGTAGTCGCTTAGCTTAGCATTACAGCTGAAAATGGAGAGAAATAGCAAGGCTTGCATAGGAGTAACAGCATGTACCCAAAGGTACCTCTAAATCTCAAGTACCTACCTGTAAAATTTGATTATAAAAACATTAGATTACATGCAGGACTATATGCCATTGCTTCACCATGTATCTTTAAGCTAAAGGCTAAGTTTATTGCTAGCTGTAGCCAGCATCAACATTATGAACAGGTTCTGGGAGTCCAGGCTTACCTAGTAAAGTCACTGTGTCCCCTCAGCTGAATTCCACAATTATACTTCAACTGCTCAACTAATTCATCCAATTTGGTAATGAAAAGCACATTTGCGGTAACCAGGATGACTAAGGAGGACACTGAACCCACAGGCCTATGGAGGTCAGGTCAGGTCCTGAAACTAAATTGAGATAATTTCAGCTTGTGCAGCTAGTTTTAGCTAGCATGCGCCTAGTCAAATATTGCAAAAACACACGAAAACGTGTTGAGAATACTGTACGCTCACAGTCCACTTCGGCACCAAGAGAAAATGCCTCTCCTGATATTTTTGCACTTTTATAACTCTAACTACATTTTTCTCTGAGTGTACTATGCATATATCCTTCCAAATATGTATATGGTGTTTGGGAAGTGATGTGAGCCGAAAGCCCCCTGCTGGGAGGGGGCAAAGTTGGTTCCCCATCCAGTTGTCATGGTCTGCTATTGATCCACGTTGGCTGTATCCTTCCACAGACAAACTAGTGTGCAAACTAGTGAATTTCTCAACATGTGGAACAGTTCTTCTATTTAGCCTCCCAACCTTGTGGTCAAGCTGGCAGAAAAAGATGCAGATTGAAGTGCTCATGCTGGCTTCATACTAAAAAATTTATTTCTTATTGATTCGTGCCATCATGGAAATAGCACAAGAACATGCAGTTCATTCAATAACTGCTGGGAATCTGTTTTCAGTTACCCACGACTGCTCACTGAAAATAATGCAAACCTGTACACGGTTAGCAAACATATCCAAACCTTGTTTTTCTATCTGTCTGCATCAAAGAACAGCACAGAATAAGTTGGACTGATTCTCCACTATTAGCTAAAAAGTTGCTGACCAAAGTTTGGAATGCAGTCATGAATGCAGGAAATTTATTGACAGACCCCTTCTTAGTAGTCGCATGCTGAGTCAGACCTCTTAAGTTTAGTCAGGATCTAAACTTAGCATTTAAAAACACAGCTCACAGTACAGTAAAGATATATATTTATATATCTATATTTTACACTTGGATGTATCTTCTGAAGAGTGTAAAGTGTCCGTTCCTGTCTGTTCAGTTTTCCCATTCAGATTCCCCCATTCCCAGTTTATAAAAAGTGTGAAAAGCAAAATAACATTACGATCTGGCTTTAGTCAGCATGGTGCTGACTAAAGGCAGATCGTAATGTATTTTTCATGTCTTTGTAATGCTGTTGACATCTATTACCTGCATATCTGCTGAATGAGGACTAACAGCAGCGGAGTTCTTGATTCATCAGTTACGGCTCAACAGCTGAACTCCATTCACTCCAAAACAGGTTTTCTCAATTGTGAGAAAACCACATGGAGCAGATTTTTGTCAAACTTCAGACGGAATATAAAGAGTTTCAAAATTAGAATCAGGTCCCAATAGTGAACAAGTGAAGTAATAGAAACTGATGTATGAACAAGAAATGAAATTGCTCCGTGCAGTGCTGTTTTTCTACAGCAGCTGCATTATTCCCATACTTGCTTCTTCTGTTTGCCATCAGGAGATACTTTCCATTGCCACAAGAACGGGGCCAACTTTTAGCATGCTCACATATGGGAGTGCAGGAATCATCTGGAAGAACAATCTTACCTATTCAAAGTTTGGTGCAGGGGATCTCCAGCAGAGCTGCACCGTTGGCCTGCGTTGCTAAACATTTTTCTGCAGTTGCTCACCAAAGAGGGGAAAAAAAAAAATCTAACACATACCCCACTGATACATCATCATTCCCTGAGCTGACTCCTTGAAAATGACTTCTGATGAAAGGCTGGATCTGCCCTGCATCCTCTGCAAGCTGCTGTGTGGCAAATCATTTCTATTAGCTTTCAATTTTTATGATTTTTTTTTTTTTTACTGTATTTACAGATGTATCTTAGCTCGGGTCTTTTTAGATCTCAAGATATACACACCATTCCAGCCATCTATAGCCTTCTATAGGGCAAGTACTGGGAGAAAAACATCACATTGAGAAGAATGCATAAAGGGAAGGAGGGCATGCAAAAATATGTGTGCTTGAATTGATGAGAAATACAGCCAGAGATGAGCCTTTTTATAAAGAAAACAGTCAGTCGCTCTGGTACTGCTGCTCCACCTTACACATTATTATTATGGAAATATCAGAAAGTCTAGCAGTAATACAAACAGCCTGAAAAAGGCCATTTCTCCAAGCTGAGCATCTTGAGAATGCTGCAGTGGATGGGTGAAAGCTGATGGTCTACTGAGCAACCAAATTGTATTCAAAGAAAAGGACTGTGAGTCTTGATTGAAAGGTTGACCCACAAAGACGGGATATAGCCAGTATTTACTGGCAGCACAGAAAACCACCGAGCACCTGCCAATGAGCAGTATCCATTTTTCTACATCAGAGTGGAAGATACTTTATTAAGTCATTTTGTCTCCATGTGGAATCAGCATTACTCTGCTCTCCCTAGTTTTCAGTGAGCTTTCTAGTCAGGGAAGGAACCACACGATGCTATGCAGCTCTCTAACAAACAGTGACAACTCTCTGATTTATGCCACCTCGCAAAGATTTTGTGGACACTGCTTGAATTAAAAATGACTTTGGACATTTGGATTTTGTTTCTGGAAACTTGTCAGACTTTTTTTGGCTCAAGATTTGGACAAGAAGGTGTTGCTTTGCCAAATGTTCCCCTTTTCCCAGATTGTCCACTCAGTGTCTCACATACCTTGAACTTTGGAGATTTTTCTTTAGTGAAAATGTTCAAATGCCAAATTTTTCCATCTTCTTTTACTACTTCCAGCTTCCCTCTCGCCCTACATATGCACACGTATACACACGCATACAGGAGTCACAACGAAACTGAGAAGCTTTACAGTTACCCGTGTTGTGCATCACAAAAATGAGTTTTCTAACTAATTGTGCCTCTTTGTGTGGGTTTGGTGTCATAGGAAAAATCTGTCCAGAATGTTTTATTATTGTTATTATTATTATTATTATTATACATCATATCAAAGGAACTAATTTGTTAGTTGCAATTTGTTATATGCAAGCTGTATTGTTTGATGCCATGCACATCCATCTTATATACAGTGCAGAGGTGTTTCCAGAGAATACTGAAGCATTCAAACCTGCTAGCTCTGATGCTAAGACGTGCAGTGGTGATAAGCTAGCTAGAGATTGAGGATGCGCTTTGTGCCCATCAGTGTCCTTTCCATAAACTCAATGACTCAGAGTGTACATGTGCGACAGTGTGAAAGAGAGTTGTGTGTATACTTTAAAAAGCTGTATAACGTGTCCTTGGAGAATCCAGCCTACAGTAGTGCTACTATCTCAGCTTGTTCAGAGTGTGATGTAAAGTGTTTGGGGGTGTTTTTTTTACTGCCTACTATCTTAAGATCGACACCTTGGGAGAAAAACAACAGATCACTAGATGCTAACTTAAGTAAAATGATCTGAGTTCATGAAACGTGGTGACAGTTTCAATCAAAACTTTCTCATTTTACTGTTTTTTCTTTTCAGTTGTTTTTTTACTTCTGCTGCTGCCTTTTAAAATTCGAGTATCCTACAAATCTATTTATTGTATCGAACAGCTGGGTATGTTCAGTATCTATTCAGAAGGTTCTGTATATAATTTATCGCATTTTCTGTATGTTTAGTTGGAAACATTTCAATGCATTTTCTGTGCTAAACATTTGAGTTAAGTGCTATATGAATGTTAATGTTGAGAACAGTCACTGGTGATGTTCCTATGGGCCAATTCTTTGTCCTTTTTCCCATTTTTTTTCAAGGTTTTGCAAAAATTTTCAAACTGTATATACTGTATTGTGTTGAAATAAATATGCAGTGAAACGGTATTATTTGTTGTTGCTCTAGGATACAATCAGTTTCCTTTCAGATTAGCTAAACTGCCCTAAATCTGGTCAATTTATTAGGTACCTAATCAGCCAATCACGTAGCAGCAACTCTACTTCTGCTACTACTCCTCTGGGTATTTCAGAAGACGCTGATCTACTTCCACATAAACCTCTCTACAGTTTACAGAATGCTCTGAAAAAGAGGAAATATGCAGCGAGCGGCAGGTCACTGGGTAAAAGATCCCCTGGTGATGCCACAGACTGACCAGGCAGATTTGTGATTTGGGGTAAATAGAAATTCAAATCATCACTTGTTACAACCGATTTATGCAGAAGAGCATCTCTAAATACAT